AAAATTTTAGTTAAATAACTTAAAAAACGAAAAAGATACGAATAAATGAAAATATCTCATATAAAATAGGAAAGTTAAAATGGCGACGTTCGAAGAATTTGCGGCGCAGTGAACATGTCACTCAGGTTTCATGACTATTTCGAGATGACACATGTAACGATTTTCAACAAATATACCAAATATATCAGTTTAGCAACATATTCTGAGCATTTGTGTACAAAAGGCATGAAAGGAACCAGAGTTTTGCGCTACAAAAAGCGAAAATAAGGAAAACACGGATAGGAAGACCGATCTTTGTCGCCTATTTCCTACAGCTAAAAAAAGGAGTAACGAGACCGGAAGTTCGCGTATAGCGAAGAATTAATGTATGCCATCCAAACATTCAACAGACATTAACAACCACATGATTTAAGTCAGAAATTGTGGGTTTATGGGTACCATTATTGCGTTGAAAGCCATTGAGAGTATTTGAGAAAGGCGCCTTAAATAGATTTAACGCCGTCTTTGACGTTGGACGTGCGCCGCGATTCAGTTAGTTGCCATGGTGTTTATGGCATAATCTTGTTGTTTGTTAGTATTTATCTATGAAAATTTGTGAAAATGTTAAAATTATATGGGTTTATAACATATTAAAATATCAAGTTCGTACCTGTTTTAGCTTTTCATCAATCTTGTCACAGAATATTGGGACAACCCTCGTAAAAGTAAACTTTAACTCCAAATTATCCACCATTCAAATTTAACAAATGTCCTAGAGTTTAACTCACAGTTTGAAATACAATTGCCCATAATTCAAATTTTATAAATGTCCAATATTCGAATCAGAAAATCACAAAATGTTCAAAATGTCCAATATGTCTTAAATACCCCCCCCCCACGAATAATTACAGAATCCAAACATATATATAACTATGTTAGCAGTACAATAGCACTCAATCAATATTTCAATATCACTTAGTATCACTAATTAACACACACCTCGAAGTGCATACATGCATCTCATATATACTATCAATGAACAATCTTGAATACTAAAATACATAGAGAAATAAATTTCCAGAATAAACATGAAAGGATAAATGAACAGGAAAAAATTATTAACATCAAATAAAGAAAATTATTGAAAATGGTACTGGCATGAGTAGGTTTCGAACTCACAACATCTACATTATTAGTCATGCTGAGCTTTTCTCGAAACAGATATTAAACAAATTTAAAATAAAGCAGTTAATTAAAAAAAAAAAAAAGAAATTATGGCAAAATGTACACTTTTTACATTTTTATCTGTTCCCTTAAATGGGAAAATGTCACTTTAAGTATTTTCTACTTCGCTTATTTTGGTACATAAACTATTTTAAACTCGAGAACGGACTCAATGACCAATATCATTACAACTGGTGCCACATTAACATTCTACCGATGCGAAAGTGATAATTTGTTTATTCTAACCTTAATGAATAGATACAATATATACAGTCGAAAAGAATAAAATGAGCTATCTTTCTTGTATTTAATTAGGTCTGTAATTAAATGTAACATTGAAGGTCAAATGTAAAAATAGTCTTGGTTTTATAATAAAAAGTGAACATTTGGTGTCCGCTCAATAAATTTTGACCAATATTTTTTTAAATAACTTTGCACAACTGATCACCAATATGAAACAACGTGCAGAGCGCAATAATTGGGTTGCTACCTAAAAGGTCAAGGCTACACTTTAAGGTCAAATGTTAAAAAATCTAAATGTCGTCTCCGGTGCATAACTTTTTAACCGCTGAAATAAAAAAAAAACTTTGCTATCACCATTATAAGAACATGTGTGGCGTCCGTGGCCGAGTGTTTATGGTCGTTGACTTCAAACCACTTGCCTTTCATCGCTGTGGGTTCAAATCAGCACAAAGACTATGGATTATTTCATGTGAGGAAGCTATCCAGCTAGCTTACGAAACGTTGGTGGTTCTACTAAGGTGCCCGTTCGTGCCTGAAAAAATGCACGGAGGGGCAGCTGAGGTCTTCCTCCACGAGCAAAGCTGGACGTCGCCAAATGACCTATACTGTGACGTAAAACCCAAGTGAAAAAAGGAACATGTGTAGAGGGAAATAATTAGGTTGCTACCTCAAAAGTCAAGGTCACAATTAAAGGTCAAACGTATACAATGCTACGTTTTGTGTCCCCTCCAAAACGTTTAAACCTTTCAAATAGCTTGGAACAAGTGATCACCTTTATGAGACGATGTGCAGAGCGCAAATATTGAAGTGCTACCCACAAAGTCAAGGTCACACTTACAGGTCAAATGTTAGAAATACTACGTTTCAATTTTGTCCATAACATTTAAACTGCTGCAATGTTTATGACACCACTTGTCATAACCCTAAATAACCACAATCATGTCAGCTCTAGATCTTGGCAATTCAAAGGTTTTAAAATTACTTGTCACAAATGATCCATACCATGACACAATTTGCAGAGCTCAACATCCAGGTTGCTACACCCATAGTCAAGGTAATATGTTCTCCATAACTTTTTGACTTTATGGAAAATCTTAAATAATTCGGCACAAATAATCACCATCGTGAGACTATGTGCTTATGATATGCATGATACAACATGGTTGGTAAAAAAGTCAAGAAGTGTACATTGATGTTTACTGCGTAAGGGGACTGCCTTGTTTTTGTTATATGGAATATTCACTATATTGTACGGACTAATGTATACTTCAAGATAAATAAATACATTTATAGATTACTCGTTGCGTTTATCTGTTATAATAGACATGTGTGTCGCACAATTCAAATAAAATCTCTTTTTTCATGATACTCAATTATCAAGTTTGACATTTTTTGTTAAGATACCGTTAAGAAATATATACCAAATTGTATGAACGCATGTGCACTTTAAGATAGAAATATGTATTATTATATATATATTTCCGTTTAGCCATGCTAGTGTCCAAAATAACATTTATTTTTAGGGAAAAACGCGCGCTATTTTTATAATGTTTTATTCGAATGCAGGACGTTATATACAAAGACATGTACAGTAAAAACTCTCAAAAATGGACCCTATCCGGACATGTCCAAAAGTCCTGTTTTCAGAGGATACCGGTTTTCAGAGGTTTTATACATATATTGATAATTATGATGTGCTTGAACAAATCATTTCAGATTTCCTTTTCAACCCTTTTGACTAGTCAGATTTTAATTTCTTTTTGCAATAAATGTATTGAGTATTTTAATCATGCACATGAATATAATTTTAAAAATAAGAACAACGCATCCTCCAAATTTAAAAAAACAAAACAAAAAAAAAACAAAAAAAAAAACAAGAACAAACAACAAATTAAAACATTTAGAAAAATCATAACTATACAGGGAAATACACACTTATAATGAAAGCGCTATAAATTAATTGCCAAAAAAGAAAAAAAAAGAGAAATTAACACACACTGACGAGTGTATTCACACCTGAAACAAGAAAGCAGGTGAACATTAACGGGTAATTGAAGACGTCACCTGTCGGGATATTGTTTAAATCCAAATTTAAAACCACAAAGTTTAGACTTACATTGTTGTCCGGTTTACAAAGGATTTGTTTATGCATATTAAGCATTAGAGGCCATAGAAAATCGTCCGGTTTTCAGAATTCAAAGGTTCAGGTATTTAGAGGATTTTTTTCAATGAACATATACGGAGAAAATACAAGACTTTTAAAACCGTTTGGTTTTCAGAGGATTCGGTTTTCAGAGGTTTTACTGTATAAGGTATTCAATATAATAAGTAGAAACCGGAAACTGTACACATATTTATACACAATTATGGTGTTTAAAAGTAAAATATAGTTAATAACTATAGTCTGTTTATTGTTGTTTGCCACTTTTCATTGAATGGCACTAACATGTCACATTGATGGTTCCATGATAACCACAATATGGACACATCTGCAGATGTTTCAAAATTCCAAATTTTAACTGTTTATGATAAACGTTGCAAACTGCTTAAGCCGGTGCTAGGAACGTGGACGGCACCTTGCACTTACCAGTACCGTCCATGAACAGGCTCAATCAAACCGAGCCTGCATCATTTTCATGTTTGACACGTTGGTACTTCTTCTGCCAGTTTTGCTGTCAGAAAATTTATACCAATTGATATTGTTTCCAATGGCAGTTCTGTTCAATACAGTTTTGCATACTGTTGATTACACTAACTGTTCTTGGGTTATTTACAGTTAAAAGGTTAAATAACTGTCAAAACAAATATTATTTTTTCTAACATAATTTATTTATTCCCAACACATAAACACTTGACTGTCGGTTGATAATATATTTAGCTTTGATCACATAATGCTGTCTTATGCTTTCGTATATTTAGAAACTAGTAGGCATCATTTGTTAGCCAAATCCAAAAATCTTTCTTAATCATATTTCATAAATCAAAGTATACAGCTTATGATACATTTCAATGAATAATATATCAGGATAAGTTTTTTTTTCTTTATTTTGTTTTTATCATTTGACTTTAATATCACGTTAATCCAAATATTTTCTAGCTTAATTTTCTTGTTTTAGGCATTTAATATAGTTGCATGATGTTAAACCTAATAAAAAAATAGATAGCGAACAGTATTATTTGTTTCGTCTTCAATGAAGATAGTGATATCTCTAAAAAAACAGATAACACGTTATAATTGCATAATTTCATAAAGTGTTCATTGAAAATATTAAACTGACTTATCCATTTAGATTTTAAAGACACGCAATATAAATTATATTTAATTATTATTTATTATATGCATACATTTCGATTTTCAAATTTCTGAATCTAACGTGTTACCAAGATGATCTATTACTTGATACAGCTGTTTTGATTTGTTTAAGACGTAAACGCGTATTGCCATTTATTCGAGAGTTTTTTACTTGTTTTAACACGGCAACATTGCTTTCCTAAAACTAAGAAAACTTAATAAATACACTGATTCTTTACAATTATAAGAAATATCAACCTACCAAGGTGAGAGCCCAATATCTTACTTTATCTATCATTTTCCATGAATTTTAATCCGTCAAATGTGTAAACTAGCAGTGTATGCGGCCCATACAAATACCGGCGGATACAACACTACAAAGGTTGAATGACAAATGTAAAAACTTGCTGATTATTCAACCCAATATCGATAATGAACATTCATAACTATTCAATGTATGTGCCAATCATTATCCTGTAATTGCTATAAGTAAGTGTATTGGTGAAAGCTTTTATTCCATTTATTGTTTATTGTTTGTTGTTTCCTTTCTTGAAAAAACGTTACGTATTGTTTCGCTTCCAAATTGCAACCTAAAGAATGCATGTTGTTTTCTTACTTTGACAGCACTTGTTTTTTTTGTGAAGGTAAATGTGTACGCTTTCTTACTTTTTCTTTTTTCTGTTAAATTGTTATATGAATATTGTCTCTGACAGTCAGGGAATCAACACATTTTTAATGTGCTTTTTTAAAATTATGGTAAAATACAGTTATATATTCTTAATAGTACTGCCTTGTTCTGTTTTTAGGTCTGATTCATCTGGAACAGAAGCAGGCAGTTTAGTTGAAATATAAGGCAAGGGCCAAGGTTATGCAAGGATATTTGTGGAGTAAGATACATGGTTTTATTATTATTAGCCTCATGTATTATCTGGTTTGCTTGGTGAGTGGCATCTTTCATAATAATAGTAAATATTTAAAATAGTGATTGTAACAAGACTAATATTTTTACTCAATTTTATTTTTAAATGAAGGACATATTTCTATTTTTAATAAAGACCATGTTTTCATTTATTGCATTGGTAAAACAGTTATTTTATAAATTATGTATTACACTGATGTACACTGACATTTGCATTACATAGCTGTTGTAGCAGATTTTCTAAACTTTTTCCTTTTAATTTCTTTTTAACTTTTACTACATTGAAGACAACAAAATTCACTTTTAAATTCAGATTTATTTTTCACTTTTACATCCAACTATACTTTTTAATCACCTTTTAACGATCTTTTTTAACACTACTACACTTCCACGCTTCTACACTTCCCCACAGTAAAGATTGTAATTCACTTATATAGTGTTTCTTCCCGCCAATTTTAAGAGTCATGAATATCATTGAAAATATGTAAAAATCATGATATGGAGTAATTCATAAGTGAAATAAATTCCCGCCAAAACCAAAATACATAATTCATAAGTTTTGGAGTAAAAAGAAATATAATGTTTTCCCGCCAAATACAAACATACACGATTCATAAGTTTTGGAGTAAAAGAAATATAATAGTTTACCGCCAAATACAAACAGACATAATTCTCATGATTAGAAGTAAAACAAAATCGTGTAATTCACGACACTCCGGCCGACAACATTAAAATATTATATATTTCACTAAAATAGTACATATTAAAATTGCTCTTTAAATATTCTCAAAATGCAAGAATTGAAACAATCTTCTTCTTAGAAAATTAAACTCATACTTGCGCAAATAAATTTAAACAAATAGTCATAATGACAAACCTATTTTTAAATATAATAAACGAAACAAACTCCTGTTTTCTTAAACAAATCTTTCAATTTATAAACATTTACAATATCTGTTTCAAAGCAATGTATGTATGTAACATTTTAATACATATAAATAGTTCAACTTGTTTCCGTAGGTTTTTTATATAAATGTCTAAGCAACATACAATATAGAACATCCCTTGTTCTGTTGAACAGTACCTCAGTACATTATTATTAATTTATTGCATTGTATAGCAATGGTAATCGTCTTCATATTCAACGCGACAAAACACAGGGTCTCCCCCTCTATATGTAGTATAGCGATAACCTGTCCTAGACCAGACTTCAACTTCTGTGCGCAACGTGTGTCTTTCTATTTCCTGTCCTTCATCATCATCAAGTATATCAATAATCTCGATTTCTGAATATTCTGCATCCGAATTTGTATCATCAACATCATCATATACATCACTACTGCACATAATGTCATCTGCATAATAATCTTCAATGTATGATTCACTATGTTCAACATTTATGTTCTCGTCATTACTAGCACTAAGCACATCATTTGTCTCATCTTCATTGCTGTAATCATTAGAAGCAGAAGACAAGCCATCATTAACATATTGTTCATTATCATCATCGTTGTTTGCACAGGACACGTCATCACTTACGATATAATCACTATCTGCACGAGACATGTTATCATCTAACTTTGTTCTTCAATATCATTTTTGCACAGGATGCGTCATCACTTACACTTTGTTCTTCAATATCATTTTTTGCACAGGACGCGTCATCACTTACACTTTGTTCTTCAATATCATTTTTTGCACAGGACGCGTCATCACTTACACTTTGTTCTTCAATATTATCTTTTGCACATAACGCGTCATCAATGATGCTTTGCATGTTTGTATCAAAATCAATTACCACTTTACCCTCTAGATTATTGTTATAATCATAAAAATACCCTGTAACTCCTCTTCTGTTATCTCCTTCAGTGCGTTCAAATCAACATCACTTATATCAAAATTTAGACTGTCACTGCTAATCTCCTCAAGATCACTATATGGTGTGGCAATATTCACATGAATACGTTTAGGGAATAAACCGCTTTCTTCTGAAGTATCATTGTCAATGTTTTTCAGTGCAAATTGTGTGACATCTCCAGTTCTTCGAGATAAATAAGAACTATTTCGTGCACTTTCTGCGTCCATGCCACGTGTTCTTCTCAAATGTTCCTTCAGATAGTCCCTCCTTATGAGTGTCCCTTTACAGACTTTGATAGGGCACTTGAAACTCCCCAGGGCTGTGATGTTTTTTCATCATGTGCCTTACTAAGTTACTCTTTTGCTTATAGTCCTTATTACAAAAGTCAAACTCGTGCCGATCCATCTTAAACTATGTTACAAAAATGAGTAATTACTTGGGTTTTATCTTTACTGCAATAGAGCTTCTGAAACACAATAATACAGAATACTGTTAGTTGCACGGATATCACTGGATTTTTTATAATATTGCTCCAAATTATTCGCGCGTAAAATCACCATGTGTTATAACTATGCTCCAAATTTTTCGCGCGTACAGTCACGTGATATGAAATAATTCGTACCCTATTATATTCGTACAATATTTTCAAGGATAAAATAATATTATGTTTAATGCTTTGTAATTCGTGCATACATATATTCACACTCTATTTTATTAAAAAAATAATTCAACTGTTTATACACGCGTATGCGGATTTCCCCAACAACACAAAAGTATTGCCTTTAAATGCCAATGGATTGTTAATTACTTAAGAAGATTTTTAAGGCGTAATTTCGCTACATTTGCCGCCTTTCTCTCGAGACGTATACCAGTTTCTTTCTTTGCGTTTGGTCTTATATCCTCTGTCTCTGGAATAAGAAGTTTTGAAGTTTCAATAGGGTAAAGTAAGCTTAAAGGTCTTTTAAGCACTTTTTTGATGCAGTTTCAATATCTGCAGAACGAACACAACCATCGGAACTAACATACAGATGGATGACTTTTCCTAGCCGCCAGCTACCTCTAGAAGTATTATCTTTGATAAGTACTACATCACGTACATTTGGATTGAATTGTACTTTATATTTTCCTTGTTTAAGATTTGTTTGTGTTCTTTCCCTAAGACTACATAAATATTCGTCTTTCCATATTTTCCAGAAGGAATCTAAAAGCCGCTGTCCTTTTTTCCATATTGCCAACAATTTATCCTCTGAACTTTCTATCACCTTAAAATCTGGGTCATCTGAAGATATTTCAATTTCAGGAAACCCAACATTCGGGTTCAAACAAATGAAGTGTGAAGGTGTCAGCGTGATATTGGAGTTTATATCTTCTCCAACATAAACTAATGGGCGACAGTTCACAATAGTTTCAACTTCCTTTATGATAGTTATAAGCTGGCCGCTGTCCAATAACTTTTTTCCGATAGATTTACGTAAACTTCTTTTAGTTAAACCAACAAGTCTTTCATAGAAGCCGCCCATCCATGGAGCGATTTCTACAATGAACCACCATTTAATACCCTCACATGAACTGTAGGTTTGAACATCATCACTTTTCAAAATTGAACTCCATAGCAACTCAATTGTACGTTTTGCCAGCTTAAAATGTAACGCATTGTCACTGATGACCTCTTGTGGTTTTCCTCTGCATGCTATGAATCTCCGAAAACTGATTAAAAAAATGCATTTGTTGTCATGTCTTTGACCATTTCTAGATGAACTGCACGTGTGACCATACATGTATATAGGCACACCCACACCTTTTTTATAGTTTGATTGTCCCTTATGTATAATGGTCCGAGATAATCCAATCCAATATGACTGAAAGGTGTTGATTTTGTAACTCTTGAACGAGGCAACGGAGCCATAAGAGGCATTTTATACGCTCCGCCTTCGACGACACACTAGGCACTTATGAAGAACTTTTCGTACCGTAGCTCTCCCGCTCGGTATCCAGTAACGATATCTAAGTTGATTAGTGTTTTAGAACCCCCTGAGGGGAACCAAAACCCTTTTGGTTTCCCGGGGCAATTTGACGCGGTTTAAAAGGGGTTTACGCGAGGTTTAAAAGGGGAAAATTCTTTTGCAAATCCGTTAAACAACAAAATTTTTAAAGGGGGGGGTTTTATCAAAAACACACCAATTTCTGGGGTAAAGCATTTTTCTTTCCCTGAAAACTCATAAACTTAAAAGATTTTTGTTCCATGTTTTATCCACATATTTAAAACTTCTTTAATTTTTTTGATGTTGAAATGTAACATTTTTTTTCCTTTTTTTATTTAAAAAGATTCCCCTTTTTAAATATGCTTTAACCCTAATTTGCTTCGTCAAACCCAAATATTTTTTTGATCAATTTCAAATGGGGCACAAAAAAAAGGGAAAAAATTCATTCTTTTCTCTATAGAAAAACACAAAAAACATTTTTACTTCTTTCTTTTTTTTTTTTAAAAATTTGATTTTGTTGCCAAATTTCCTTTTTCCATTCATCAATTTTTTTTAACCCCTTAACTCATCAATTCTTTTGGAAATGTCTTCAAAAAAGGGCCCCTCAGGGAATTTCCCCCATGACAATTTTCCCCAAGCTTTTTTAGAGAACCCCCCATGGGTTATCAGCAGGGTTGTCTCTAAACGTAAATAATTGAAGGGCAAAATGTTTTTTTCTTTTATTTCATTAAATCGATTTCTAACAAAAAAAGGAATGTTTTTTCCAAAATAATTTTTCCCCTTTTTTAAATGCACATTAGGAAAAAACAGAAAAAATGAGCTTGTAATTTTTTCATTTTTTTATTTTTCTCTTGTTAAAAAAAGGGAAACATCGTACCCCCATCAGTTTCAGCAAGGGGTTTTAGTCGGGGGAAACTGAGTTTTGAATTTGGGGCAAGTCGATCTTTGAAAAATTTCTATTTTGATTGCTTTTTGGAAAATTTCCCCTTTTTTTTCAATCAAATATATAAGGTTGCGGTTTTGCTTTGGGGAGAAAGGATCAAAAAGAAACACACAAGAAATTAAATTTGTTTTTCAAACCTTAATTTTCAACATCGGGGGGGATTTTTTCATTAAAAAAAACAAATGGGGAAACTCTTTTTAGTTACACTCTGAGTTGTCGGATTTCGATTTTATTCACTTTCTGTATCGCCAGTGTATCCTTGTGTTTGTTCCATTCAAGACCTAACACTTTAATAACAGTTTCATTTGCTCTGTTTTCAGGTGGAATACTTTCCGTCACGTCTCTGTTGTTAGACGCCCACTCGCGAAGATTCATGCTGGCATCGTCGAAAATTCTTTTGGACCTAATATACTAGTCTTTATCAGCTTCAACGTTTTCTGTTCCCGTTACAACATTGTCCATATAAATAGCTAGTCTCAGTTTCTTGGCGATTTAATTGTTATAGCACTCCAAGTGATAATCAATTGTTGCTACCAATAAGAAAGGGCTTGACACAATTCCAAAGGGGATCCTACAGAACCGGTATTCTTGTACCTGATTTTTGCGATATGTCTGGGTGTTCAATATCTTTTTAACCATATGAAAAGAGTGACATCTCTTTGATCTTTCTGCAACCCAACTTGGAGGAAAGCCTTCTCTATATCGGAAACAATACCGATCTTATATAGTCGAAATATTAGCAGAATTCCACACAAATCATTCAAAAGCACGGGTCCTCTGTAAAGGCAGTCGTTCAGACTGTTATTTTCAACCTTTGATTAAGCTGACGCGTCATACACAATTATCAGCTTTGTTGTTGATTTGTCAGGCTTTATCACTGCGTGATGGGGTAAGTAATGGATATGTCCGTTCTTTTCAGATGTTTCAACTTTTTCTATCATGCCCTTTTCAAGCTGATCTTGAATAACAGAATCATATTTCTGTAATACATCTGGGTTATCTTTGAACCTTTTCACTAATAACTTTAGTCGTCCAAAAGCTAGAGGACGATTTTCTGGAACTTCATAATTGTCGCCTCTCCACGGCCACTTGACATAATATATGTTATCTTTGAACACAAGACTTTCTTTGAAATTATCTATCGCTTGATCATCCTCAGTTTTTTCATTTGTGCTATCTTTCAATTCTATTGTTTCTATATTCCAAAAGTCTTCTATGGCAGGTAATTTTGGAACACATGTGTCAACTGTTGCAAACACTTGTGTCTTAGTTATGTTATTGCCATATGATAAATTGAGCATATTGGCATCAGTAACGCTGTCATCGATTTCACTTGTTTTTTCCTGAAAGAATCCAACCAAGTTTTGATAACAAGAGGTATGAGCCTGGCTGAATTTCTATTTTATGTCCTGACACTATATCTAAGTAATAATCATTTCCCAACAGCAAATCAATAGAATCTGTGTATTCTGCAGTTGGTATATCATCCGCTAGAGTAAGATTCTTGATTAACGATCTAAACTCTCCGTTATTAGATATAGACACTGGTTTTCTTTGAATGCTCCCTGTAATTGTTGGAACAATACTTGCTGTTATAGCGAAATTCTGTCCATCCTTTAATCGAATATTCAATTGCGTAGACATTGTTCTAATCACTTTAGGTTTGTCACTCCTAAATGTAACTAGACGAATCTCTTGCCTACTTTTCTTCTTGAGATTCAAAGATTTAGCCAGTCTCTCGGTTATGTATGTTCTTTGCGACCCTGAATCTAATAAGATTCTTACGTTCTCTTTGTTTTGACCATCTGGATCACAAATCTCAGTGCGCGATGTTTGCATCATCACTATTTCATTAGAAGATAACAAAGTGTAACAGGATGGATAATTCGAGTGTCTTGATACATTTTGGTTGTTTGAGTTTTTTCCCTTGGTTTCCCGCAATTTTGATAATGTGACTAGTTTTGTCTTTGTTGAAGCGGCTTTGTAAAATATAAGTTCAGACATTTTCTTAGTGTTTTAAATTTATTTAAAATTTGGATTATTGATAGTTGGTCAGTATGATTTTGAGTTGTATTTGGTTATTATCAGTGTCTTAAAGAGTGTATGTCATAGATTTGTTTTTAATTAAGTAATGATTGTGGTCTTATTTGAAATATCATTAGTTTTCGTGGTTTGAGAATTGTTTCAGAAAAAGCAGTAAATTTATCTTTCTATTAACTTAATATCACATTTCATTCCCATCACTTTGCACATTTTGTTTATTATAATTTGCAGAAATTACAGCACAGAGAGTTTGGTTGTATGTGTGTTTTGGAGAAGATGATGTAATATGATATAATTGTACATTCAGTTCCACAAACTGGTAAGTTTGAATATTCTTCATGAATGTTATGTATTTTATGATAATTTCATTAAATGAACTATTTATGTTAATGACAGCCAATAGAAAGCATATAACTATATTATATGTTAATGTACCTATGAGTGATATGTGCAATGTGTTGCAAATATCTATTTGTAATTGACCAACTAAATAAGGATGTTTTTATAATTGATAATTATGCTTTTCAGATTTTACTCTATTTTTATGTTGGTATAATTTGTTTACTTTCAGAGTGTTGATCGATTCGATTGATTGAGATTTATTGAAGGTTTATTGACGATTCATTGACGATTGATTTTGTCGATATTTGGATATGTAAGATTGATATACATGTATGTGTCAGAACTAGAAGATAAATAAATACATTAGAACTGTGCACAGTTATTTGTTTGGAAAGACATCTTTGATCCATATTTAGACGCCGCAGAGATAAGAGTAGAACCCAATTTCTTGGTTATTACAACCTTTCAATTTCAACCAATTTACAAAAGCACTCTCAATACAAGCTTTATCATCCGTAGAATTTCTAAGAATTTCCTTTGGTTTTGCTTCAGACACACATGCTACTTCTTCTAACAAATTTACACTTCCTTGCAGAGATGCCTTTCTAAATTTTTCAGGGCATAAGCTTACGAGTATGTGGTGTACATTTGATTTATTGCAATATACACAAACACGTATACTTTTACAGTCAGGAGACATGTGTCCTTCTTTTAAGCATTTATAACAGCATCCCTTTATTTGAGCTTTTCTTTCGTCGATTGTTTTAAACTTCGGTCATTCGTCACTCCAATGATTTTTACTACAGAATCTATATATTCTCTGATGTAGCTCCGGTAGTGTTACTTGTTGTTGAATTACCCCTGTAGCTCTTAAAAGTCTTTGTTGATCTTTGAAACTGTGTATTAACTCTTTTATCAGGTACAAAATTACCACTGACTGGTTTCGGTCTGTCTGACTTTTCTCTGGATACAATATACTGTCCGAGAAACTCACGAAGCTTGGTTATCGTCCACTTATTGTCTGCACGCTTTTGTACTTCAAGATGCATAAGAACTTCACTTGGTAGTTTGCTCCGAATAATTGATACGAACACTTGTTGCTCCAAACTCTCATGCATAACCTCCAAACTTCTCAAGTGCTTTTGTATTTTGTCATAAAATAATCGCAAACTTTCAGTTGTATCTTTAGATGATGCAACGTTCACCAGCCCCTTGTAATGCAAATCTATAATGTCTTGTTTATCTCCAAATCTTTCCTTTATAATTGTTATGGCAATACCGTAGTTTTCATTAGATAATGTCAGTCCAGCGATAGCACCTCTAGCTTCTCCAACCAGCTTTCCCTTTAAATAGTTGAACTTGTCAACTGGCGACAGATTGTCATTTTCATGTACAGCACTAGAGAAAGAGTCCCAAAATTCAATCCATCGCAGTTTATTTCCATTGAAGGAAACTATGATTAACTTTGGCAATTTGACAGTATTCTCAATCTTAATTTTGAGACTGTGTTGCTTGTCAAAGAATTTCTGTTGCATTTTCATTTGCTCTTCTGCCCGTTCTTGCTGGTGTTCAAAGAAGGCTTGTTGAAGTTTCATCTGAACTTCACACATTTTTTGTAAAGCTGACCCTTCTTCGTCCGACTCCTCTTTTATAATATTCTCTGCTATTTTGCTTTTCAGGTCAGTCTGTACATTTTTCAGTTTAAAGGCTATCGACAAAGCCCTATCAATCAAAACTGAATCAATTGCAATCATCTCCTGAATAAATTCACTATCTGAATCACCAATTGCACGCGCTACCTTTTCTGACTGAATAGTAAGCTTATCTATATAAATATCAATCTTAAGTGTACTTTCATTGACAGAATGCTCAAGCTTCTTGTATTCTTCTGGGCTTATGCTCTCAATACTTGTTTCTAATAAGTTATGGATCGGACACAAAATATACTCTGTAATAGACTATGCTAATATTTGACCTCAAAGTGTGACCTTGACCGGTTTTTGCGCATGACACAGAGTTTTATTATTCAAGTTTTTACAGAATCCCCTCAAAGATAAGAATGTTATGGACCTAACACGATATATACCCTCAAATAGACAATGTTGACCTGGAATGAGCAAGTGCGACATTGACCCTGGAGGTAGGAGTCTGGTTGTTGCGTATGACATATCATCTTATTATAACAAACATTATTGTCAAGTTATTACAAATTCCTTTGATAAATGACAAAGTTATGGACCGGACAAGAAAGTGTGACGGACGGACAGACGGAAGTTCTCACAGGACAGTAATTATGTGGCTACTCTATTGTTCTCTCTATTATTCTTTTTACCCACACAAAACAAAATAGCCACATAAAAGCATTACCGATGAATGATCTCAAAGAGAAAGAACAGTTGACTATTGGCCCTCTAGCCACATTATTACTGACGGACGGATAACCCGGCGACTATAATAATGCTCACCCGAATTTGTTCGGGGAACATAATAATCAAAACAACCTACACAAAAGTCTGAATTTTGACCTTGACAGTTAAAGTCAATTAAAGCTAAAGGTCAATGTCAGTTCAACCTTTTAGAATGTCATGTCCAAAATGTTGTTTTGTACAAGCATGGAAATAGTCCATTGATTAATTACAGTTACAGCCAATTGTAGCAATAACTAGTGAAAATAAAATAATTTGAACTTCAAGGTCATACATGGGTCAATGTCAGTTTGTCAAAGTTATAGCCCATTACTAAACCAGAACTCTGCTAGCCTGATGTGTCCCCTTGTGAACATTATAGCTGTCACTTAGGCATATTCTTCCTTAATATAGGTTATTTATAAACACCATTCTTATAATATGCATGTACCTTGAACTTTAGTGGCGTTTGAACTGATTGTAGCTTGTATAGCTTTTATTGTGTATGAAAATTGGCTTAGACAAAAATAAAGAATAATAATCAACAAAGGGCAAGAACTCTAAAATTATAAAGTAAAGAGTACCGGTGTCGCGTAATTATCACAACGTGGTAATATTACTACGCGTGTGATTATTACGCGGCGGCGTAATAATCACACGGTCAGGGGTAGTGCCGTTAGAATCACACGTACGGTCTTAAATTTACTCCAAAATAGTTAAATGATCTACCATTTTATTTCAAAATAAATTCCGCATCTAATGGTATAACGTTTGTGGGAATTAATTTTCTAACACACGAGAGTGTTTTAAAAAGCATGTATTGCAGCGATTTTCGAATATGACAGCCTTCGTTATGAATAATTATAATTATGTTCTGATAAATAATTTAAAAAAAAAGTTTCAGTCCTATTTTTTAATATGTTATATTAATTGTGATTTCACTCAGAGTTCAAGACAATTATGATTTTAAATATTGATAATAGCTATGCGTATTTGTTATATTTTGCAGACCATCATTGATGTGTCATTTGTCTTTAATTAGAATAGCATTATCTTAACAAATCTTGAAGGTAAGTTATAACATAAAATAATGGTTATCAAGAAAAGGGCAATCGAATAGAGCTACTTATATTACCGAAATGTATAATTTGTATTAGCAATTAGAATAGTGCACGTGTTTGATTATATCGCACAGAAGTAATAACGCCACGCGTACAAAATTATATATAAAATCAAACAAATTTAAATTATGTAAAGTATAATAATATTTTCTCCGAAATCAATTTTGTGTCTACATGTGTATTCAGCTGAAAGTTTTAAAATGCTTTGATGTTAAACAATATCTCGGGGAAAATGTATAAACCGCCTGCGACTGTAAAGCCGTGATAATCGTACGCATGGTTTTATATTTAACCAAACATACAATAATTCATAATATTGTTTTCCAAAATGAATTGTGTTAAGTAATTGTACTTCATTTTTACATATACTTTTGTTATCCAACAGACAGGAGCATCTTGAAAAAAGTAATTGTAGGGAATTGAGAAAAAAAAACAAAAACAAGCGTCTATTCATAATTTTGTTTTATTCTTTCTAAGATCAATTATACTTGTTCATGTGGAAAAACATAATTTTATGATATAGAATTTTTTTAACTAGGTCGAAATTATCGGTGTCATATCCGGTTGGTTGTATGCATAATACAATATATTGATGCATGGAGATGTTAATTCTCTTAAAATCGCCAGGCGTGAAGGTTAACATTATGCACTAAAACACGCAACATACTGTTTGAAGTGTTCGCCATTCCTTATTTCAATTTATTGAGAAAAAGGGGTGTCGATAATTCTTATTAAAAAAACACATTACCTACATCCTAAATCTTTTACCACCTGACCAATCTCTCGTGGTGCTCTGTGGGTGCAGAGGCCCGCTTCGATTACTTACTGGAAAAGGCATTTTTTACATTTCTTTATTGTTATTACAGTGTAGCAGTACCACGTGACCTAGACGTCATTTTCGGCATCATATCCAAGACAAATATTGCTCGATTCGAAAAGGAAAATAGCCGTATGTATTTTATTTCTGCACTGATTCCTTTGGGATATGCACCATTCACACGGTAGGAAGTAGAGCCGTGATAATAACACGTACGGCCTTATATATACACTCCAATTAACATGAATTATACCAAAATGAATTCCACATCTGTTGGTATAAATTTTATGTTTACCATAAATGCGGGAATGTATTAAAAACACGTTTTACTGGAGTTTTCATAAGAATCTTCATTTTTAAATGAATACAACATATATTTGTGTTTTTTTTTGTTTATATATATATATATATATATATATATATATATTATAAATAAAAAAAAAAAACGGACGTTAAAAGATATTTGATTTATTGCTGTTTGATAAAGTGCTCAAGACTTCTAAATCAAAGCACTGCAAGCGCTGAGGTATACATTGCTTGACAATACGGTATCTATTTTTGTCATCAAGACCATGTTGATTTCAATCTACTGACCTCAAAATCAATAGAAGACATCTTCTGGCTAAGGTAAATGTCCCTTACACGTTACAAAAGCCTTTGCTTATTTCTTTTTAAGTTGTTAATTGGAAATGAAAAGGTTTCGTTCCTACAGACAAGGGCTGTATTTTGCCAGGAAATTTAGATGTTGGACAATATGGTTGGCAAAAGTGAAGAGTAATATAGAAATCAGTTTGTGAAACATCTGCCTATTATCTACAGTATACAATACTAAAATAGTTAAATGGAGTCTTCAGTGTTATTTTCTATTACTATATATAAAAGTCGATAAAAATGCGGAATTGAATAATCCAGCAAGACTAAAAGTTACACGCCAAACACGCACACTGGAAAAAATGCACGCTTTGTCTTTACTATATACATATAAGGAAAACCTATGACCATCTGGCGGATCCAATTTTCACTACCACACAAGTGAAGCTTTCATGCCAAATATCTAACGTCTAGCCTTTGTTTATTCAGAAGAGAGATTTGTTAAGCTTTTACTGCATATACATATAAGGAAAACCCGACACTCTGGGGCCAATTCACTATTGCCAACATTTGAACAACTTTGATAGAGGACCTGCTGATGATATTATATTCCAAGTATAATTATAAGCTCTAAACCATAAACCTTCAGACAAGAAAATTTTTAAAAAGACTTAACTATAAACATATATACAAAAGCCTATATATATATATATGACCCAAGGGGCGATGCCAAATTTGAATCTAGTGCTAAAAATGGAAACATCTTTGTAGAGTTTCACTACACAATGTTTCATGGCAAATATCTTGCCTCTAGCCTATGTCAATTCAGAGGAGAACATTTCAAGTTTATACTACATACATATAAGGAAAACCAGGTGGGGCTAATGTTGACCCCATGGTAAAATGTATACACTCTTGGTGAAGGTCTACCAGATAATGCCTTATACAAAATATCTATGCTCTCGGTCTTATTGAATTCTTTAAAACAACTTTGGAAGCCCTTTATCCATGGAATAATCCTGTTTGGTTGAAATTGGACAAGATGTTTTTCACAAGAAGATGTTTTAAGTTAACTATATAATCTATAAAACACCAACACGCATGCACCCGCACACACGCGTGCGCACACACCCACACATAGGTGAATCGCTATATGCCACCGCAGCATCTACATTCATCAGACCGGCAGACCATTATCAAAACACTAACATTGTTCATGTTTCCACTGAAATTTAATGAAAGCTTTATACATTTAGAATAAATTTTTATTTTTCATTCTAAGCTGTAATTAAACAATATGAGGTAAAATAAATTTTATGGTTAACCTTGTGGGCCTCATTGGAGCTAGATGGGAGGAGTGTGGGAATCCAAATATTATTGAATCGCCTTTAAAGCATGTCAATTTACTCAAGAGTGCATCAAAAAGTATTAAGCACATAATATGCTATTTATCAAAATTAAATGTCAAATCTTGTTTTTTTTATGTATACTATACAGAAATTAATTAACTTCTTTTATATAATCTATGAATTCAGTTTATAGTATCTTTTTTGCACTGACATTTACTACAGTTTGTGCTTTTTGTGATACTATACACTGTGCCAGTAATCTTTCCAGCACCTCTACTCCAAATAAACAAATGAAGTAATTAAAGATCAGGACCTTGAGTTCACATTCTTACTGAGTATGGGATCTAAATATCACTGCCTTCCCGGTTCACCCTGTCTCAACATCCGGTCCCCCTCTGTCTTGGTACATACCAGCCTGTCTCATGCTCTGCAAGTTTCTACATTTATGGCCAGTTGGGACTGTTTAATGTC